TTCTGGTTTGCGGAAAGAACGAAGCCACTGGAGTGTACAGTGAGCCGTGCATACACGAAAGGGTGGACTCAATAGATAATGAAGCAAGGTTTGTAAGAATTTTACTAACGCTAACATCTTTCGACGTGTTGTGGAATATCTCGTTTCGCTACCGTCCAGTCGTCGACTAGCGTACGCGACGAGTCTCTGCTGTTCAACTCGAGCTACCTGTGATAGAACATCCGTATAAAGTATTAATTCGCTCCCATCTGCTGAGGTGTCCGGGAAGGCTAATATGGGTAGGGAGGTTAGCCTTGCATTTAAAGCATCGAACGCCTTCTGACACTCAGTGGATCTCCGGAAACCGGACGACAACAGTACAATACTCTACATTCACAAGGGACTATATGCCCCCTCGGCAGCCACCTCACAGGGTACCGGTACACTACCGACCGTAACTGGATGAGGTGATAAAGGATATATTAGACCAGAAGATTGTAGTTCCCTCATCATCCCCCTGGGCATCACCTATTGTTTTAGTGAAAAAGAAAGACTCCCCTCCACGACTGTACGTAGATTACCGATGTCTTAACGCCATAACTAAACGTGATTCTTTTCCACTTCCGCCGATAGACGCTACATTAGACGCCATGAAAGGCGGTTGTTGGTTTTCGACTTTGGACTTAGCATTTGCGTATTGGCAAGTGGAAGTTCAACCTCAAGATAGAAGGAAAACCGCATTCATAGTACCAAATGGCCTATATGAATTTCCAGCCATCTTTCAAAGACTTATACAAACAGTCTTACAAGATATAATACCCTACAAATGTTTGATATATCTTGATGACATTATTCTGTATGGCAGCACACCAGAACAACACAATGCTAACTTGAAAGCGGTTCTTCAGTGCCTTAGACAATACAACTCAAAAGTGAAACCGTCCAAATGCCGACTGCTGCAAAAAGAAGTAATCTTCTCGGGACACCGTATCACCGCAGATGGGGTAGGCACAGACAGAGAAAAGGCATACGACGTTCGTAGTTTCCTGAGGTTCGTTTATTATTACAGACGCTTTGTTTGTGATTTTGCATCACTGGCGGTTTATGCTCCGTTAGAAGTAACAGGCGCAAGTAAGTAACATTTTGCTGTCAGGTATTCTACTTCTGATTGATGTTACATACTACTTATGTCGACAGACATAAGTAGCATACACCACATTATGTGGATACAATAAGTATTATATAGCTCCTTAAATGGAATTAAGTAGAGCACAATTTAAACTTGTAACTACATAATTGAAAATTTAATATTATAATCACCATTAAGTGACATGTTTCTCATAAAATCACACATTATGACAAGAATTCTAATAAATAATCGTCATTGTTTTTAGATATATTGTTAGAAATAAGCGAATAACTGGGAAATGTGAGATTTTGAAAGCTATTTATCAAAAATGTAGTGAATCTGCCTTCAGTGTGTATGTATTACGCGACTGATTTATAGTATTTTTTATCTTAACTGTAAGCATTTATTTAAATCATTCACAGTTCGTAAATTATGGTTGGATATCTATATAACTGTTACTCCGTAGCATCATACTACAAATGATCTAGTTTTGCACAAACTGAAATTTCTGATGTGATATAATTAGGTTGGTTTTTAACTCTAAACAATATAAGAAAATAGGGGTGACCTTTTAGTTTTCTTACAGAGATTTTGGAACAGAAAGAATTTGGGTGAGGAAATTTAGGTCAGGTTATTATTTTAGTTGTGTTATGAGAATGTTATAAGGTTAAGCATCTAGCAGTCGTCAGGAATCTACTCTAAATTCAAGGTTTCCTGAAGACTACCTCTAGCTACATGATATCTTAATGGAGTAAATGCGATGCGAAACCACGTGAACTAGTGTAATCAAATTGCAATTCGATCGGTCGTAATCAATCAGCATTGAGATTAGACAAACGTGAAACTAGTCAGTATTCAATGATAAATCAACACAAGTAACTACATTACAACTAAAACATTTGGATAATAGTGTGAACATACAAATTATACGTTCATGAACTTCATTCTCAATCACTATCTCTCTCTATATATATAAATGAATACATTATTTGACTTGAAAAATGTACCATAAGTACATTTGAATGAAGTTACTTAGCCCGTTTTGTTTATACCAAATAAAGTTGTTAATTAATGTCATTTAAAGTGCAATTAAATACTTTTTTCAGAAAGGTTATACTTATAACATCTAGATGATTTTCGGAAAAACAATTTTTTTAAAAAAAATCTATGACCTCATTCAACTAGTTAGATCAATTGATTAAGCATTCCAGAGAGAAAAATACTTCGGGTTACACATAATATTCGGAAATACTACTATTAATACTACTGATAGATTTATTTTATATATTTTTCGAACAAAAATACAAAAAAACATCTGTAATGATTATGTTCATATAGAATTTTATACTTGCTCATTATTTGAAACGGTAAAACTGAAGTAATTATTATTAATCTATGAAATAAGAATAAACAGTAATGATAAATGCAACTATTGGATTGCTTAATGTTAACAATACACCATTGAACTCTTCCATTAAATAGGTAAATCTTTAGTGGATTAAATATATCTGAGACAATAAACTGAGTAGTTGGAATGTCATAAATAAATAAGACATATTACGATTAACAATTTCTACTGTAGTGGGGTTAGTGGAAATTGCAGTGTTTTAATTAATTTGTATCATTTTACCTAAACCACCACTAAAAAAATTGGGAGAACTGGACTGCCTACTCGTCCTAGACTGGGAAGCCTATACAGTACGCATCCGGGAGCTGAACTCAGGGCCTCTGGTTTCGTGCGCGAACACTTAACTTGTAGACCACCGAGTTGACATCAGACAATGTCAATATCCAGCTTCAAACAATTGACAACCGCTACCCATTGCTTGTGGTGGATAACGGTCTCATATCCAGCATGGTTAGATTTCACTGGTCATCACTTTTTATTAGAGCTTCATGAGTTGCTTCTTGAAGCTAGTTAGTAGTGAGACAGTTGCCTACTGCAAATGATGAATGATAATTGCGCAATATCGTGAATCGTTAACATAGTTGGGTACCGACTAAGTGGTTTAGAAGTTTAGCGTTCGCGCACGAAGACTGCTTCCGACTACCAGGTGCGGATCATTGATCTACAATGCTGAGGAGTTTCACACTAGAACGAAACAGTCACTCAGTGTTTCTAGGTTTTCAATGGTGATTTAGATAAGATCGGTTCATGGTTTAAACTGCGAAAATTAATCACCTAATCAATGAATAAATATAAAAACTTAATATCAACTTTTCATATTCTTTTTTAAGATATATTATTGTTGGGTTTGGTTTCAATGCTCTGACCATCAGTAATCACCAGTAACCACCAATAGGAACAAAGCGGAAAAGGGAGAATCAGAAGAAGAAAACAGAAACAGTCTAATACCTACATTATAAAAGTTCAGTGTTAATAGATTATATTGGTGTGTCAAAATCAAAATAAGATATTGGTTTGACAATAATGATAAATTTTAACGTGTGGCCTAAAACGAAAAGTATCAAAAAGCTATCGTTTGTTACAAAATATAATTGGCATGTGAGATATAATTTATGGAAATTAATACGAGTAGCTGATGAAAATCAAATAACTTATTGTGACCAGTTTTATTATCAATTAATTAATCAGTAGGTGAAAATCATTTATCAAATTGTTAAGAACCTAAAAAAACTCTCCAGATGCCAAAAAATTACACCGACCAATCAGTGTGTCTTAATATAATGGGAATTTTTCAGCGATTACAATCAGTGTCTGTTAGAAAACAACGGATTATACTTTTACTACTTTGACTAGACGATAATCGGATTTGTCACTAATTTTAGCATATTTTCTAAAAGCTCATAAAATCTCAAAGTTACGTTTAATGGTCAATAAATACATTTGTTTTCTGTATATAAACTATATATGAGTAAAGCTTTTCGTATACGTACCATTTTCTGTCCCGAGATAAAGAATGGGGCAATCCTGGAGACTAAGAAGTGGTTTGAAAGTCAGTGTTTAAGCGTTTACTTAAGATATGTATCGCGGTAAAGATTCAAGTACTCGATTATGATCAACACTTTGTATAGCAGCTTGTATTAAAACTTGACTATATAGACTGAATCACATGCTTTAGAGTTTGAACTTACAACCTAATAGACGGAAATCAGTTGCTTTAACCACAAACCCATTGCTCAACTGGCATATATATATATATATATCTTTTAAGAGAGAAATTTATTATTATACTGGTTTTCAGGAAAATGAGACGCCATCCAGGCTCTTTACAATCTAAGTAGTACATCTTCGTCTCGGAGGTAGGCATCGAGAATCCTAGTACATCATTAATAAATTGTTATTTGACAAGTTATTTGGCTTAGTTGGAAATATATATAGCAGTTTGAATTTTCCTATAATACGCATTCAATTAATAAGTGGTTGTTTTATAATACTAGGAACTTAAAAACCAATTAGGCAGTTTATGTGTTGAGCTACCTCATTCATCTTGGCATTTTACCAAGTCAAATTTGTCTTCATAAAGAAAGTTAAATATACAACAAGAGTATGAAGTGAGTTATTGAGATTTACAAATTTCACTTCAAAAGAATGATTCGTAATAAAGAAAAAAAGACAGTTGAATAGGGACACCAACACAAACTCAATTACTAGATGCTAATCTGATGTTGTGTAATTTACAAGCATAATATGGTGTAAAATTAATATAACCATTCGAATATTGATTCCAATACGAATGATTTGGTTAGGATAATAATATATAGAGAGGAACTCAGAAAACAACAACAAAGTTCTCACTAGTACGTTACGTTCTGATGAGAGAAAAGAATCTCAGAAAATAAAAACCGAAATGAATGTGAAGAATTCTTATCGAATGGAAATACGAATCTTATATATATAACAAGAGAAATCTAATAATACGAAACTTACTTTCTGTGAAAGTTTCTCGGATTTCTGCGTCAGCTGAAATATATATAAGATTAAAATCTATGGATTAATACCTTAAATAACGATTAATTGCTTATTTATTATGATTACTTACGAAACAATAGCGGTAACAATGACATTAGTCGCTACTCACTCAGTGATCAATTAATGTAAATGTCTCAATCCAAAAGAGATAGGTCGCGACACGAATAACTATGTAATAATTTAAACTATTTCAACTCAATTCTCCAAGTTCAAGCATCTTCATTCAGAAGAATTATGACAACTCATGGTGAATGCCCAGATTTTTCTGAAGCCACGAGGCCGATGCCCTTTATAACAACCACAGAAACAATCAAAATAGGTATATGGAATTTCCATACAATGTGGGAGACTGAAAGAACCATTCAACGAGTTGCGGAAACGAAGAGACACAACCTGACCATGTTCGGAAACAGTGAAACACATTGGACTCAAACTGAACTGCAAACGGTTACATTCGGGAGTGATGCTGCTGAGCTCTGATCATAAGGAAGAAAATGATTTGCACATTCAGGGCGTTGCTCTGATGATGTCCAAAGAAGCATGTAAAGCACTATTAGGATGGGAATTTTGATAGATCCAGAATCACCAAAGCATACTTCAAAACAAAGAAAGAGGGAATCGCAATGGAATTTATCCAATGTTATGCCCCCAGCGATGATAGCAACGACGACGATAAAAATCAGTTTTACGAGAGGCTGTAATTGATCATCGGTCTTGCACAGACCAAATCGCGACACTACTCATTATTGTTGAACAATCAGTTGAATGCAACTCGTCATCATACATCAAGTTCCTTCAGTCTGAAAAAGCATGTAACAGTATGGATAGGAGAACCTTATGAGACATTCTTCGACATTTTGGTATGAGTAGCTGAGAAAATCGTCAACAGCATACAAGATCCATACGACAGACTACAGTGCAACGTCGCGCATGGAAGACGGCTCACAGATGCATTTCAAGTGAGGATCGGAGTCAGACAACGCTGCTTACACTCTACCTTTTCCTTTTTTATGGTGGTTGGCTGGATCACGGAGACCTCCACATCTGAGGAGATGCACGGATAACAATGGACAGCTTGAATACAAACTAGACGATTTGAACTTCACAGTTAAACTAGCCCTTCTACCTCATAAACACCAACGAATCCAGATGGAGATATCCACTGAAGCAGACGTTTCTAAACCAGTAGACCTCAACGTGCACAAAGAAAAAAGCAATATCCTGAAACACAACACGGAAAGTACCAACTCAATCACACTTGATGGAGATGCTCTGGAAAATGTGGAATCTTTCACGTATCTGGACAGCATCATCAACGAAAAAGTACATAATGAAGAAGGAAATGCACGGGTTACAAAAGAAAAGGCAGCATTCCTACGGTTGGAGAGCATATGGAACTCAAAACAACTGTCTCCAAGCCAAAATCAAATTCAAAATCTTCAATACGAACGTCAAGACAGTTCTACTGTACAGAGCTGAAATGTTGTATTTCTAAACAACTGTCTACGTAAGATACTAAATATTCGTTTGCTGGATACCATCAGCAACAACCTAATGAGTGAGAGAACAAACTGGCTTCCATCTGAGGAGGAAATTAGGAAAAGAAGTTGAAAGTGTAAAGGATATACATTTTGGAAATCACCAAACTGAATTACGCGCCACATGGAATGAAAAGGAGGAAGATCAAAGAACACACTGGACTGGGAACTGGAAGTAGACATCGAAAGGATTTTCTAGGACAGAGTTGGATGGATAATGCTGGTGGGTGGTTCATACTCCTCCACGAGGGATAACAGGTGTATGTAAGTAACTATATACTCTATATAAGTGAGATGTTTAGTCACGGGAGATATTCGACAGTTAACCACGGGGCTAAGTTTTGTGATAGTTGGCACACATCAGTAAAATGTACCTTTAAACTTGAAGAACTAATGCTACTTGATGGATTCGAACCCGTGACATTTACTATCACAGTATATAACATTATCACTGAGCTAGACGGCAAGTGAATGGCCTCCCATATGACTGGTATGCCCAGAAATAATTTGATCACCTAGTAGTGATCACTGTCGTGCTTGTCTAGTCTTTTAAGCGCTCATCAAATTTTATCAATATTTATTGGATTCCATTTCTTGACTCATGTTTTGTCAACTAATTATAATAAGTAATTGTTACTTCTTAAACTGATTAATTTCCTCTTACATTGAACGATGTAAATTCAATACGGGTATACTTTATCTCATGATACAAAATGCAATAAACCAACAGATTCAGTATTTTTCGTAAAGTTAACTTCTGTGTCAGATAACGGACGGACATAAAATTTATGAAAGTCACTTATAAGTAAAACATACGCAAACTATTAGAGATAGATTTCTATACTAAATAACACTGTTTATCATTCTAACACACGTGACTTTGGAATCTAGTGTTATTTACAATGTATTTAAACTGGAATGCAAGTGACATCAAGGAATGAATAATGTACAAACAGAGGAGCTGATATGTTAATAGTACAATGAATAAATATTACTCTTGTCAGTCTATTTTATCTGTGTACCAAGGTGATAACGGAACTGCCTAATTTTTCCTAATGTTGAAGGATAACTAGTAATCGAAACCGCGAATGCTTTTTCAGTCCAGTTTCTCACATGACCTTTTCTCTTTTCTGATTGATTGCAATACTTTCAGTTCGCTAGTTAAACGTATACTTGAAGATTATGCTTTCGTTACTATAAATACATAGTTGTACTATTTCAAGTTGTTCTTCTGCAATAACGAATTTCTTCTACATTTTGTCGTCTTTTCGTGTTAGCGACTAATAGTTGAAGTTATGTGTGGCATCTACCACTATCAAGTCGTTAATAGAACCGTTTGAATTAGAATAGATTCATCGTTTTTCTAATTCCCCAGTATTACAGGCCACCTGGAAAGTCCAGAGATATAATCATTTTTCTTACAAGTAGAATATTGGATTTTATGATTTAATTAATTCTTATTTTCCTTGCATGCATTCCACTTCTGATTGGTGTCACATACTACTTATACCTGTCAACGTAAGTAGCATAACCACATATATACGAAAAGATAGGATGAATTAATGACTATATATCGATGAAACAAGTTACGAAAAGTAGTTTTTTAAGAGCTAGTCTATAATTTATTAATAAAAGGCATTAAGTCGATTAAAAAAAAGACATATTTACAACATATTATGTTACGTATAGACAAATGCAGATCACATGTGTGAATGATGAAGGAATTTCACGCACACACCCAAAAATGCACATATGGTAGTTAGCGTAAACGTCAAGGTATATTTTTAAGAATAAATTTAATTTAGGTATACCTAGAATATAACTAACCATTATATATATATATATATATATATATATATATATATATATATATATATATATATATTTATATATAACTCCTGTATATGAAATTGGAAATAATTCATGTTATCAAGTACCAATATCGAATCATTCTTAAAGAAACTACATTATTTTCTGTTGAACTCATTTACTAAGATGTTTATTTACACAGCTTTGGACCATACTGTTTGTATGAAGACTTCCTGATATGGACAATTCATTTATCAGGTTACAGACTCATGTACTTAACTTCGAGCAACATTCGGTGTGAGGACGATTGGTACTGCGCGGTTGCCTAAAGCAACTTAAGTGTAGGGGGTTTTTTAAATGAGACTTAGTGACTGAAACTCGAATGCCATAACCATTGAGCTACCGTCCAACTTTTTTGGAGTAAGAAAGACAGTAATACTGATTAGGCTGTCCAAACATAAGTACGTGAAGGGATGCTTTAAACCTACAGTCAACTAACCGAAAGCTTCATACTCCAACTACTAAGACATCGCACTACAAATACTACAAATAATAATCACTACTTGAAATATGAAGAATACCATACAATTCGGCATATTTGTGTATAAATAACCAAGAATTCAAAAACAGAACTGCTGAATTCCCGTTTAAATGAGCATATTATCAAACCATGAAATAAACACTTTTCAGTTAAATAATATCAAAAATAAAGTGACGTTAATTTTTAATACCAACGCTAATCATCACTAATAGCAATAATATTTCCAGTTCATTAAAAAATGTGAAATTTCTATCATCAATTAGGTTACATAAATTTTGTTTGGATTTTTCCCTTGGAGAACTTACTTTTCGAGTTATTTTATCAAATTCAGTTCGACCGAAATTCAGTAGATCATTTAATCCACCAGAACGTCTCGGGATGGAAACATGGTCGATAATATCTTCAAAATCATCTGGTGGAATAAACGCCATATCTGAATTTAAAACTGCTACACGTGATTCGAAAAACTTTAAAAATTTTTAAATATGATGAAGAAAAAGAAAAAAGCATTATTTTTCAATCTTAAAGATTATGTTAAAAATTTGGGGGTAAAACTTAAATGTTATTCGGTACTCAAGATAACACTGCTGCTATAACGGGATAACTATCAAACAAAATTAAACCTTTGGAACTGTCCTACATGAAATAAATGTGTATATTTTTGTTGTACAATTACCAAATATTTAGATTATTGTACTTTTGTATTCCTCTACTTACAAGCTTTCTCGTTAAGCATAAACTGTGGTTATGTGGTGTACCATTCTTAAGTTACTGTTACTTTGTGACAGACCCATTACTCAGTCTTTTTCCACCAATAGCGTAGTTATGTCGGTATTGTAATTTCTTAATTACGTTAATGTGTGGTCAGGATTTTACCCTATACTGTTGCATGAGCGATTCATAAATTCGAACTGTATAGTTCGAAGTTGTCTACTTGCGGTACTGTGTTCTGTTCTGGCTGCCGAGTGAGCGAGTGTGGGAAACTGTTTTTTGGACTAGTGGTCATAAAGTATTATTTCTGGCCGTCATTTCACTAAAGTCGTGTCGTTTATTAGCCGAAGGTCATTGGTGACTTGATAAGCAGTCTAGGTGATCCAATCAATGCTCGGAAAAGATCAATACAATTGCTCTCCTGTCTCTTACTGTACGACCACGTGAAACTCAAAAATAAGTTACAAGAAATATGATTGTTTTTATCGTCACATCAATTGTATTACAATAAACAGTGTATTAGAGTACATTTGTGAAAACCGTAATGGAATTAATCTGTTTTAGTATGGGAATCCATAGACAGTGGGAGATAGCCACGCAATATCGAGAGTTGATTGAAGTTAGGCGCGTACACAGTTAAATGCCAGCTGAGTGATGCGGAGGTTAGGCGTTTATGAGATAAACTGAAATTCACGAGTTCGATCACCAGTGGGGTTGTGAATGCATATTCCTGAACAGCTCTATGCTAGGACTCAACAGCTGTCCACTTCTTCCTGATTTACAATGTTGATTTAGCTAAGATCAGTTTATGATTCAAATAACAAAAATAATAACAATGATCAAATATTATATGGGCTATGGAATATGAATGGACGGTTAAGATTAGGTCATACGCAGGGGTAGTACAGAAGTATAAATGAGAGGGGTATAATCTTGCTCCATTTCTGAAAATTACTCAGGACTTAGTATATAACTGAAAATCTTCCTGTTTACTCATATAATGTTAATTGTTTATCAAATAAGGAAGAATGAAGCAAATAATGGACACTACAAAGTCTAAGGGTCAATAACTTTGTAGATTGATGTCAAACTTTTGTTTGACTGCTACCAATATTATTCTGGTGTGCTCTTATGTTGGTCAACATTCCTCATCACAGTAGATGGTCGTCTAATATGTGAGTAATACATCTCTAACCTTTGGTTGATAGTCGAATGACTAAACTACTAAACGACAAACTCAACGTATGATTTATCTCAAAATTACCAGTGATAGACTGATGTGTCTATCTTTATCTGGTTTATTGTTACAATCACTGAAAAAGCCTATTTGGCAGTCTTGAAATAACTTTTCATCATAATCCACAAATTCGTCTATAATCAATGAACTGGCACAATTTCAATTGGCCGCGAAATGGAGTTGACTGAAATACTCGTTAAAATGATCCCCCGAATACGTTCCAACATGAATTACATAAAAAAAAGTTATCTCTCGAACTGATACAGGCGTCCAGTTAATCTTATATATTCATTATGAATAAAATAAATCAACTTCAAAGATACCAGATCCGACTTAAATAAATGAGTAAAATGTCTGTGATAAAAGATATATCTCGACAGGAAATATTTGGACAATCGATTTGAACTTACACATATTACACCAATAGTATGGCTTTCCGAGAACTGCGACGGAGCCTCCAGAGGCCCCAAAGGAGCCGAAGAGTTCTAGCCAATCAGAGCATGGTGGAATTTTCTAGAATATCAGTGGCGTGCTACTATTGATCAGTAGCACAATATGTCTTTTAGCGGATTGGCCAAAATATGATGTTAATTTAACAAATGTTAGCATCTATAAATACCCGTGTTTTTCGCTTATTTTGCGCCTTTTCTCTCGAGTTCAGGTCGCTGCGCAGTTCTAGCTTGCGGGTTACCATAATAGTTTAGGAATCGAATAAAGCGTTCAAATTAACAAGACTTATCATGGCTGACTTATTAAAAATGGAGTGCTTAAAATTCAGGACTACAGATTCAATTTAATTATAACAGTTTTGATAGTCGAATAAATTTCCGAAAGAAAAGATACAAAATTATATGGCTGATTACTAATCGATTTGAAGTTATAAACAAACTGAAAATGATTCCTATTTCTAACTGAACAACAAAAATCAGCGAATACATTAGTCATTAATTATTCACACTATAGAATCAAGTATAATATTAAGTATATCAACGAAATAATTTATGAGTATCTATAAAAGTGTTAAGACACAGGAGATAATCAGTCTGTTAGATAAGTAGGTTGTATTATACATAACTCAATGACTGACATTTTGAATATTAATGATGTCAAATGAACAAACAACCAAACTTACATATGCTTAATGTATTCACACTATCTAGAATATGTGCACATCGATATATATATATATATATATATATATATATATATATATATATATATATATATATATATTACTGACTCCAATATATCATTGTAAGAATAAAGCGGACTAGAAATTAAAACGATGGATCTACATCAAGTACTGATCTTGACTAGACAACCATTGAGAACTAAGAAGCACTGAACATTTTTTGGTCCAAGCATAATACTAGGTTTCTTATTCCGCCTGGGCAGCATCCATTGTGGTTATCAAGAAGGCTAATGGCACAACCCGAATATGCGCAGATTTTTCCACCGGTCTTAACGCAGCTCTCGAACAGCATCATTACCCGCTGCTAGTCCCTGCGGATTTGTTGACAATGCTAAATGGTGGGAAGTTCTTTGCAAAGCTGGATCTAGCTGATGCCTATTTACAAGTGGAGATGGCTGAAGAATCCAGAGAGCTACTTACCATCAATACTCATCGTGGCTTGTTTCAGTATAATCGTCTGCCATTTGGAGTTAAAACCACCCCATCCATTTTCAGCAAGTAATGGATACCGTCCTATCGCTTATCCCGGGGGTCGCAACTTATATCGATGACATCTTAATTGTTGCCACATCGTTAGAACAGCTTCAAAAACGCACGACAGCTGTACTACAACGCATCAGCGACGAATTCCGGTTACACCCAGAAAAATGCCAGCTTTTCTTGAAGTCAGTAAAATATTTGGGATCCATCGTTGATGCTGCAGGTCGCAAACCAGGCCCTGAAAACATTCGAGCCATAAAAGGGATACCCACTCCTACAAATGTCTACGCACACCGATCATTCCTGGGATTGGTTAGTTACGATTCAACTTTCGTCCCGTCGATACATGACATACGCACCCCGCTAAATTATCTTCTGAATACTAGCTGGAGATTGACAAAAGAATGTGAAGCTGCATTTTGCAAGCTGAAAACAACCATATTATTGACACACCACGATCCGTCGATGCCAATCATTGTAGCTGCAGACGTTTCAGCCTTTGACTCGGTGCTGTCATCTCACACCAGTTCCCGGACGCAACAGAGAAAGCTATCATGCATGCATCTCGCACATTGGCTCCAGCGGAAAGTACAGCCAAATAGAGAAAAAAAATTCTCGCCTTTGTGTAGCTAATTAAAAATAAAATGATCACTTTCACGTCACATAAAGTTATTTGTTGTGAAATGGACGAATATCAAGATGGAAAACCCATCCGTTCGCAGACTAAGTGAACTCGTAATCGCTTCAAACCTAGCAAATTAAGCTTGTGCTGTGCCTTCCCTACCCCTAAGCAACGATGAAACATGGAGAAAAATATGAACGCATATAGACTATTTTTAGGATCCCCTAGAAAATCACTCATTCATGGCTATTTCTAAATTAAAAACGACTATTACTAGAAAAATCTTTTTTGATTTAAGTAGAAAGTTCAGGAAATGATGGGTTTTCCATCACATAGCTCTTGATATTCGTCCATTTCACGACAAATAACTTTGTGACGTGAAAGTGATAATTTTATTTTTAATTAGCTGCACAACAGTTTATTTTCACAAATCGATAAAATTCAACACACGCGCATAATCTTATTTGAGTACACATTATTTCTCTACCTTTCAGTTCTAATGAGTGTCAATGTTTCAGCATCTCCGCCAAATAACAGATATATAGGTGTATATAGAGTATAAACATTTAAACGTTTACCAGATCAACTCACTTGTATCACCATCTGAGAATTTAAAAGTTCTGTAAGATATGGCTGTAATTCATGACCACAAGAAATGACAAATGCAGCGCGATCGAAAAACCATCCACCTATACGAGGTTGATCAAATTTATCTTGTGATCGACTTTCGTCATTTGGTGATTGTATTGGTAAAAGATCGACAGATGAAGAAGCTTCATTATGCTGCAGTGCCGATCGATAACGACCTATTTCAGAAAATACAAGGAAGATGCAGTAAATTAATAATCATAGTCATATTAGAAATTCGCTTACAATAAGAAAGTGGCATCGATTTCCACAAATCTGATTTCAAAACAAACTGTCAGTTGGTAACGGTTAGAAATATTGTCTTAACTAACAGACTCAACGAGAATAAACCAATCTTTGCAAACACATGTGATTGTCGGAAAGCTTAGTCAGTCTAAAATTTTAGTGAAAGCTTCATAAAATGTATGGAGTAATTTGGTACCTTTTTATGGATATTATCTAAGATAAATGAGGACAGGTATACAACGCTCTTAGTAACTAGTGGTTTGACAAATGTGAAAACAGTAAATTTATAATATTAAAAGCAAACGAATTGGAATTGGACAACTTTAGTTAAACACGCCGATTGTAATACGATGCCTTTTAAAAAATGTTGGATACACTCTACAGCCTCATGTATTTACCTAGATTTGCGTGCATATGACGGATTGTACGAGCTTCAATCTTGTGGTCACAGATGTGCATGAACAAATCTACTCGAACTCTTGTCACAATTTGATCAAATAGTCCTACAGATGTGTGACTATTTTTCTGATGAGGCGCAAAAACTAGTTTTGTCTCAAACAATAAACTGAATTATATGAAAAATATAATCACTATCTGAATTAAGTAAATATCTAACACGACTTCTCTAGGAATCGATGCTTTAATAACCTCAAAATAATTGATACAAGTTATGTGGTTATATTGTGGATGAATACAATAAGTGATGTGCTTTTCTAATAATTTCAGTCTCTTCATTTTTTTGTAAGTAGACTTAATTTACTATGAAATAATTTTTAGTTACGAAGCAAAAAATAGTAACCTTACCAAGAAGAATAGCCATCAGTTCTAAGTATGGTCGAGCTAAAAGTAATGCAGCAGTTGAAGCAACATTCTCTGTTGAGCGTATATGCCGTAAAATTGCACTGTGTGATGCGTTACACCGTTTAATCAACCAATGACGCTGAGAAAATGCGAAAGTATCGAATGAGACAAGGATCATTAACAACAGAAGTTTACAATGTCATTGAATAATCTTGAAACTAATTTTTAAGACTAAAATAATAAATGTGAACGGAAAAACAACAAAAATAAGATTGCATGAGTATAAAAAAGTTACAGCCATCAATGTAATCCTACATTACTTGTAATATCATCGGTAAATTTTCTTGCTTCTATGTCAATATTAGATAAGAATCTTGATTTATCATTAAAAAAATTAAAACCCATGAAAAAAATGTCTATTTCAAACGATTTCATCTTTCATGCAATTAGTTCCCTTTATTTAAATTTCATCTTAACAGTACGGTACTTACATATTTGATGGTAGTATCTTGTTGATAAGAATAACTGTAACAAACTTATTATCAACTAAGTTTGAAGCCTGTGTTGATTTAATTGCAGTTATTTACTTCCTCTGAAGAAGATGCCTACATTAAGTCACGAAACGTTGGAAATACAACTTTTCTATCCATTGTGATATAAAATGAATATTTCAAACTAACGAATCCAACCTTGTTATTATTGCCTATAAACTTTTCGGATCTTTTTTGCATGATATTGAAATTAACTCTTTTTCTAAGATTGAACTTCCATAGTTAAACGCCTCAGAGTTAAATTAAGAGATACCCAATGATTTAACTACACACATGTTACCGATCTAAGGCAAAAAAGCAATAACATATGGATTCCTCCTCAACTTTTACCGACTGGAATGAAAGTTTCTGAACACCACATATATAAACTGGATTGATATATATGAAGCTATTGGCTGGTGAAGTAGGTACAGACTCTGTGGTGGGGTTCCGCAAAACAGTCATTATATATGGCTGAGGACCAGTAACAACGTTCATTTTCACGAACTTTCAGATAAATCAGTTTGTCTGAACAGTAAAGTACTCTTCAAGTGATTTAGTTAGTATGTGAGAACCCCTGACTAATGGTCGGAGATGTTTAGCAATATGATTTAAAATTGAGGTATAGACTTGTTTACTACGCATGTTTTCTAAATTGTCGAATATTGCACATTTATTCTGTCTTCATCCTTTGATTTTATCTGTTTCTTTAACTTAAGTTCCCTACTGATTCCTAAATTGATGTTTTCAATTCTTTTTACTTCTCATGCTAACTTCTTCTTGATAAAATGATGTGAAATGTGAAGGCTGAAACCGACGTGCTTTCCTGTTAAGTCCTAGTTAAACCTAAAAATTATTATTAGCTAAAAATTATATCAATGAACGTATTCATCTCATAAGCATTGAAAGGATTTCAAACACTCCACGTAATGTGCTAAAAATAAACTATACTTTACCAAGACTCACATCCAATAAACACTTTTTTATCTGCCTGCATCTAAGTAGACCAAAACGCTTCTGCGCATTAGATCAATTACCCGATGAATCCATGTGAATTTTATAATTAGGCATAATACGTCAAAATGGTTATTTTTAGTGCAAATAGATGACAATTAATATTTAGAAACACCAGTATAAATATATTAAACATACTAAAACAGACGGCATGGTTATTCCAACATCCCCTGTCCCATATACAACATCATGATCCAAATCGACAAGTCGAACTCCAGGAATTAACAATGGTTTCATCTTCTATACAAATAAAAAGCAGAACTTTTTAAAAAATCAAAGACTTACATTGAAACCATGATCCGATCAATGTTAGACTACATTTAGAAACTTGGAAGCACTGAATGGCCGTTTCGTCCTAGTGTGGAACCCCCCAGCATTGCGCATCTATGATCCCGCATACGGGATTCGAATCCGGGACCTTCGGTTTCGAGTGCGAACGCTTAATTTTTGGATCATTGAGCTGGCGTCCAATTGTGTTGATCCTTAACTTCACTCAATCCAAGGTATTGCACGACTATTTTCTGCTTTCTTCAGTGGGTAATTGCCTCACACCCGACAGGGTTGAATACTATTGGTCTCGGCTTCTAACTATAAATAGGAGAATCACTTCTCGAAGCTAGTCACTAGTGAGCACATAATATCTTTCAGTATGGGGTTGTGAAGATTGTTGAATTTCATTGAAATCAGTTCAGTGCTTCCGAGTTTGCAATGATAGTCTAACATTGATCGGTTCGTGGCTTCAATGGTATTCAACAATCTTCACACCCCCTTGCTGACAATCGGGCACATAATCTGAAAGACGGAATTAAACAAACCTCTTTTAAACATGAGTGAACACCAGCAACAAATGGGGTCGGACAGCTTCAAAAGAAAAAAGAAGATCTAGATTCCAAGTGTTGACGTTACTTACTTACCCAACATATTCAATACAATTGGAAGGTAGTAGAGAATAAATTAAATGAGGCCTGATTATATGTAAGGAAAAACAAGTTAGTTGGAATTAAAAATACCATATAAGTGGGTACAACAAACTTAGACTGGCCAAAAGACAGGAAGTAATACGCTGTAAACGACTTGAGTAGAATATTACACTTTTCTCCAAAATTAAGCTAGATGTAGGAAGTAACAGAAAAATTTTTATTAATTAACCAATCTATACAATGTCTCACCTTTCAAATATTACAATCCAATTGCCGATAGACAATGTATTATAATACTCTAAAATGTGTCTCTAAAATTTCGCGAAATAATGACAATCATCAGTTACATGATAAACAAACTGAAACTGTGCTTCCGGGAGTTGCATACTTAATTTCTGTTTGGATAAATTGGTTTAAAAGATAGAATGTGAGCAGTACCGTCGAATTCGGAGGTGATGAAATGTTAAGTGTAGCAACACCAGAATGATAATGCAATTCCTTTAAAATTACTTCAATATTACGTCGGTTTTCTTCTCTGTATAAATGTTCTTGATTAATCAGAGTTATGATTGAGTGCAAAAGTTCAAAGTAAGGAAAATAACTAAAATTATCATAAAAAATTTAGACTATAAAAATAAGTGTGATGAAAATATTACCTACTAATACACACAATATATCCGGAAATAGGTAAAGTAATACACGCAAAAAATTCTACAGTTCCATCGCTATCCGTGAATATAAGTGTATACTCTTCCGAAATAAGACTGTTAAAACAAGTTAATTATGGAAGATAAATATAACTGACCTTTTATGTTTACATGGAAGAACGAAATTTCGCAGCCTATGAAAGTGAGAATTTTCGTTGTTAACAGATGGATAAACATATTCAACTACAGGATCTAAAAATTGTCGAACAAATTATTCGATAACCAACCACCGTTTGTACTATCCAAATGGAAAATGACGATATGTTCTATTAGTTTATTAGTTTTTCTGAAAGCGGAGGAATGTGTAATAAAATACAAATAATAAATTACCTTAAACGATTCCAGAACATATTCGGTATGTAGTTTTACAGTGAATAAGCCATTACTACAATTCAATTTGCTAATATAAAACAAAAACAGAACACAACATTCATAGACAGGAAAAATGAAGACACAAAAAACCTTGAAAAAAATATCAACAAGCAACGGAATTGTGGCTTATTTTATCACAGTAAAAGACATAGAAAAGTCCTGTCAAGCCCAGTTAGAAAAGGATAGTGTTGTGTCCAATGCACCTGCTAATATATCACGTGATTAAATTGTATAATAGCCAGTAGGCCAAATGAAATCTTACGATGAGAAAAACATAAATATGTATGATCTGGCTACTTGAGCCATACAATAAGAATAAATATATAACAACAGTTCATAAGTAGTTCCTAACAGTTACCGTTTATTAATTCTTCGTTAGGATATAACAGATGATGATAGCGCTTTAGTAGTTATATTGGCTGAGATGTTTGCTCGAACTTGGGGTCTTGAAGCAACACTGTCAGGTAAATCGTGATCACTATTTATCTCAGTTTGTAATAAAGAACAAAAATTTTTTTGTAATAAATAAAGCCATAGGTTAGATAATAAAAACAGCGTCTAAAGTTACTCAATACTTAATCGGAGTTCACGAAGATCGAAATCGGAAATATCATGATAGTTTCGGGTGTGAAGGTAAATACAAAAATCGAAAACGAGCCATTTGTTAGATTTCGGACCACATATATGCTTACAGACTTTGGAAATCGGGTACCCATGACTTCTGTTTCTTACAATTAAGCAGTAGGCCAATAGTGGTTTTAAAAAGACCGAAGAAAATATGAATGAGTAGTTCCAGTATTTAAAGTCATGGACTTTTACTGACCTTCATGGATATAAACGACAATTAGACAGAAAGTGTAATGACAAGGAACACCACAATATGTAATTAGCAAGCCGTGAGCTAAGAGTTGGTAGGATAATAGCAAAACCAAAAAGCTTCATACTTGTTGACGAATCACTAATTTGTCTGATTATTAACATAAGCAGTTCATTGATAACATGTCATAGAGTATATTTTGTCATTGTAACGTAAGACCCAGATTTTGCGCCATAACATACCAATAACTACAGCTTTGGATTAGACAGTTGCCTAGACTCAATCCATGCATAAAATATTTCTGTGTTAGTCCATTTGTTCCTCATAATCGTTAACATCAAGGGTTGATGATTCTTTGACGCGCGCTATTAAAAAAGAACAGTATATTTCATAGTATTGATCGCTAAATTACACATAAATATTACAGTTTTTGCTTTAACTGAATTTATTTTAGTTAAAGTAATCTTCAAGAGTTTCCTTTTTTCAAGAGAAGTTCATCATCTACATCTCACAAGTACAGATATAAAAAAAACGAAATGCACTAGTGTTTTACTCCATCGTTGAGTATATCTTCGAGTATTGTTTGTATTCATAAGTATTAATGTTTTTTGTAACGGCGGAAGTCAGATTTTTTTGTTATTGTTAGCTTCCGTCATATAAAAACCTCTGTTTTTGTCGTAGCGGTAAATAAATCCCCAAAATAAATAGCTTTGTAGGGTTTCGACACTGGATGCTGACCACATTAGTTTTAATGGACTCACCCGGCTGAAGGCTCTCGGTCATTTATTCGCACCAGATCACGAGTGGGAACGCTGTGCTCAACAACCTTGCAATCGCTAGCCAGATTAGATCAGACAATCCTCGATATATTGATAGCCTGTCAAATATATCTTCGAACCTCCTCGCTTCTGTCTTTTGATTTCACTTGGTGAGCACGCTCCATATTAGAAGGTGTCACTAGTTGAAGCGTTGTCAAACTCCGAATACCTGTGGCACCTTCATTTTGTTTGTTCAGTGTCTATGACTTATGAGGCTTTAATAGACACTTCCCAGTTTTCGCTGTGAGATAAGAAGCACGACCATCCCTGAATAGGCCGAGCTATTCGACGTTTACTAATACAAAATAAGAAATGTTGGAACGCTGACATCAACCTTGGCACAGCAAGTACGATGGAACGCTACAGGTCGGTAAGGAACAAGTGTATAATTAAAATCTGAGAAGCTAGGAGAAAATGTGAAATGTAGATGGCACAATCTCCGCTAAAGCAGCCCAAAAGACTATTCTCATTCATAAATTACGGAACAAGGACGCAGTATTACGTTCTCGAACTAAGTACGGAAGTGACTGGATCTCACATAACAGAGGATGATCATGACAAAGCAAGATTTGTGGCAAACTATGTCGGAACAGATTCCAATCAAAATTCTTTTCTAGACAAAGTAATAGACCCAAGAGCGAAGTAAAAATTCTTCTGCTCACTGTTAACCTCGACCTAGGCGATGTGCTGAAAGTCCTTAGTACTCTGGAAACTAAAAAATCAACAGGAGCGGATGAACCATGATCCGAAATTGTGAGACAATTTTAACAATTTATTGCTGTCCTAAGATATTAAATGTGTCACTTAACCTCGGTGTGTAACCTACGGACTGGAAGAATACAATTATCACTCTCACAAATAAAACTAAATCAACACGACTCCAATCAAATTACAGACCTGTCGGCCTCGACAGTGTCGTAATCAAAATACTGAACAGAATAGTCAAAAAGACCGTTATGACACTCGTTAAAAACAAATTATTAACAAGTGAATAAAGTGGTTCCAAACGGTTAACAACTGGTCGTATATACTTCAAATATTTTGGATGATCTAATTTTCGAGAATAAACCACGCAAGTTTAATTATTTTGCTGGATGGTTTGCCATGTTTTTTGATAATCCTTAACATCTGTGTATTTTCACCTAGACTAGCTTTTTATATATTGTTTAACTCACTCCCAAGATGTTTTTGGTATAAGGTATATTTAATGGCTTTATGCTACAACATACTAATGTGAAAATTTGTGTCGTTTACTGACGAAGCATATTAGATTAGAAAATCATTTGACAATTCTTAGTTCTGATTACCTTTGCCATATGATTTTAATCTCACCAAACTAAATTCAGCAAGTTCGTATGTAAAATCTATAGTATAATTCGTCATATTCTTAACTGTTGTTCCACAAGTCTAAATTTGAGAAAACGTTTATAGCCAGCTTTATGATTTTTTAATTGTTATATCCTTCATCAACCAGCATTTTAACCTGGCATGTAATTTGAGTCACATTACGTCTGTATGCCTTTTAAATGTAACAATCGCTTGAATCATCTTTGACGTCTTCACTAAGCCCATCATAGTCGTCATTGCAATGGATATTTGGGCTTCTGAATCGCTTCATCATATTAGTTCTTAAAAAGACGTTGAACAAAGTTGAGATAATTGTTACGAGAGAACTGAAAACATTTGGCCGATTAAAACCTTTGTATTGAATATTCATAGTTTGACTGTTCTTGAATGTATTTGTTTTACTCGACTTATGAACTTGTTTCCTTATTGCTATTATTATTATTAACGGCTTTATTAAATATTATATTTTGGTACAATATAGAATTCTCAGCACAGGGTATTTTAGCAAGTTTCTTACACAAAAAAAGAAGAAACAAAAACAAAAAAGTGAAAAAAGGTTTTCAAACAATCTGAAAAACTGCACTTTTCAAATTAGAGACACGTTAAGAGTGCAGGTTATTGACAAGGTTAACTCTAACAACTTGTTCGTCGCATAGTATATTTGCTAGAGAAGGTATTATAGAGCTTTTATGCCTTTACTAGTGTGCATGGATTTTAATGTATTGACATTTCGTTCTACCAGAAGATATGCAAGGAGAAAGATAAGAGTGAAGGGGATGGTTAGTATATGATAAAACAACACCAGACAGGTGTTTGCATGACTTTAGATGTTTATCCACAACCATATTAGTTATGACCCCGAAAGACTCACCACACATCTTGCTAACTGCCTTCAGCATTCTCCGCAATACAGCAGTCTTTTCTCAAAAGCTCGAGAAAAAACAATAGAGAACAGTAAAGAATAATAGGTAATATGCACGAATTGATAAGTTGTAAGAATAAATGTCGAGTCATCCCAAGAGCATGTTACGGGAGAACTGAAGACATTTGGCGGATTAAAACCTTTTATTGTACATTAATAATTTACTGTGTTTTTTGGATGTAATTGTTTTACTTAACTTTTGAACTTGTTTGTTTATATCATTATTTCGGACATTTTGGTTTGTCTTTGGTTTGGTATTTGGGAGTTTTGCTCCGGGACCCTACAAAATTGAAGGTTTGTTTTGTAATTGTTATAATTATTGTTGTTAGAACGACATTTGGTCGACTATTTGTAAATTACGAATAAATTTGGTATCTAAATTGGAACTTGGTTTTGTTGTTAATTTGGGTTTGTAATTTGCAAGTAGATCGATAATCCGTACTTCAATAACTGGAACGAGCAAAACTTGAACGTAATAGAGCATGCAATCTCTTTATGTAGTAAGTCAGACGGACAACCTTCTTCGACAACAATAAAACGTGGGAAGACCAAGAGAGATCAGAAAAAAAGGTGACACCAAGATAATTGACCTTCTACACCGTGTTTATAAAAAATTCTCCAATAGCACAAGCATTATGGGGTCTCAAAATGGTGTTTAGACTCCGTTCATGTCTCATGCTAAAGTTAACAGCTTGACATTTAGATGTATTAAGTATGAGACCATTACCAACAGACCAACAATCAATACGAGACAAAAACTCATTCATTTCAATGGGATGTAAAGAGGAAGAGATAGGCATACATACAATGAGATCATCCGCATATTTCACAGAAGTGTTTTCAGTGAGAGATGGCAGATCATGCAGATAAACAGAGGAAAGAAGAGGTGAAAGAACAGCTTCTTGTGGTACACCTTCATGAGACAGTAGAGACTCTGAACACTTTCCTCCGAATGCAGTGTACTGTTCCCTTCCAGAAAGGTAGGAAAATAGCAAGTTGGTTATCCAACTGTCAGTGTTGACGTTGATTAACTTGTTAATTAAACGTTGTCTTGGTATAGAATCAAAAGCTGAA